AACCGTCAGACGGATTGGACGATGAGTCAATCCATTCGACCCAAGTCCTCATCTGAAGTTCGTGGAACTGCAAGTGCGCCTGCTGGACCAGGATCAAGACGTCCGGTTCGGCAGTAGAAACTCTGATAATGGCGCTGACTGCGGCTTCATTATCAAAGAACCACAGCACGTCGCGGCCACGAAGAAGGGTCGGACACAGTGCTGGGACAACCACGGCTGCAAGGGTCTCCCCAGGATATATCTGCTGAGTCCGAGGCTTCCATTGAGAGATCACCAGTGGGGGGACAACACAGGTCCCACCCACAGGGACACCCTCAGGGGGGAAAATCACCCATCCCAGGCGGAGGACCTCGTTCTCAAAGGATGCGTCGGAGTAGACGCGGGTGACAACGTCCAGACAAGGATGGACTGGAATGTCACGCGGTCTGGCAAGCGCCACAGCCCTACGGAGAACTTCTAATTGACGCCTTTCAAGGGGCTGAAGCTCCGGTTCATCGCCAAACTGATGTGCTGAGAGAGTAGGGCCAGCCAGTTTACCCAGGTGGCCAGAGCACATAGTGAAGAGCCAAGTAATGTCGCCGCGGAGCTTACCTGCATCATCTCTGGACAGGCGGTTCGTCAACAGGATGTCGTCCAGCTTGGCGAGGACCTTAGCAGTGGTGGCGGCTTTGGGCTGGACACGGATGATGCCACAAGAGGGAGTGTCGCCCGTGTGGATGGATGTACCCAAGTAGTGCCTGTTAGCCGTCGGCTTGAAGCCTTTCTCTGGTTGAGGGTTAGCGCCCATCAACTGGAAGACTAAGCGGAGGCCAACTTGGGAAACATCTGCGTCAGCGATGGCCTCCATCGAGAGCTCGTCATCAAAGTACGCGGCACCCAAGCTAAGAGCACACCTTCTGGCGATTGCAATGCCCAGCTGCGGGAACCTGTTGAATGCAACTACCGCGCTCTCCAGACCAAACGCCAGGCCCCAAAGTTTGGTGAATCGCCAGCCCAGCTCGGGGATGAAGATCGCCACTACAGAGAAACGTTGATGGTCTGGATGGACTGGCAGGCCACGGTAGGCATCCGGCAAGTCGTCGGTCCCCAGTCGGATCCTGACCCAGTCAGGCAAACTGGGAGCCTGTCCATGCTCATCAGAGGATAGACGCCGGCAAAGAGATGCAGCGACTGAGGCCACAAAGTCAATACTGACCGTGAAGATCGTCTCTGTCATGCTGGTGTGGGCGTTGTGCAGAGTGCGACGTCCATTGTCAATCATCCTCTTCTTGTTGTCTGCTTGCACAATCTGGAACCTTTCCAAAGGGCGCCATTGACCCACACCAAATTGCCGGTCCAAGGCAGCACGGGACATGAACTGGGAGCAGAACCCCTTGTCCTGCTCGGCAATGGTCTGCTCCATGATGTCAGCGGCATGTTTGGGGGGCCTTGATCGCATGATGTCGTCCACAACTTGCTCCGCATCAGATAACCACACTTCCAAGGGTTCAACCGGTTTGGCTGGAACGGGACGGAATAGGCCCGATGGCTCAATCTCGCCCACAATAGGATAGCCGATGACCATGCATTGAGCTTGGAGACGGTCCGGCCAGCGGAGGAGCACAGTCATAACACCGATGAACCCTGGACGTTTGGAGGAGGCCACCCGGTGAGCACTCTCCGAACGCCAGTGAGCTAGCGCGTCCTCAAGGGGCTGGACTGCTTTGGCCACAGACCGCAGGATCTGTCGTAGCTGCGAGGCATAGGATGGCATGTACTGCTGCCAAGCGCAGATGGCCTCGATGACATATAACACGTCGGTCTCGGGCCAGTCAACAGCTTGGAATGGTGAGGGCAACAGGGCAGAAGCCGCCATATGTCCCTCCTTACCAAGCCCGGCTGCAAGCAAATGGTCCAGTCCCTTGGACGAATCAGCTGGATGTCGCTGACCTGTCAAACCAGAGTAAACCTGCGCCCGGTCGGTGCGTGTCAAGTGGTGAGGCCCCAACTCATCAACAGGCATACCTCGCAGGCGGCACCACGCCTGGTACCCTTGGAGAGCAGGAAGATCACAGTGTCCTAGGCGGCGCTGTACTTCTAACATAACGCTCGGAGCAATGGAACAATCAGGAAACAAGCCAGGTAAAACTTGGACCACGTCCGCCGCACTTGTCAGGCCCGGAAAAGTGGCCAGACGGTGTGGAGCCCATACGGTGTGCATCAGGCGATCGTGCAACTGCCATGGATCTCATCAACCGATGTCAAGCTAGGCACCATCTTGGCCTCAAGCAACTGGGGCAGGAAACACAGTACCGCCAGCAGCGAGAAGATATGGAAACCGTTGCCTAAAAGACTGTTCTGGCGCTGTCGTTGGAGGAGAGCTGTGCCAGGCACTGCATCGAAGCTAGAAGGGGGCAGACCCATCAGTTGAGCTCTCTCGGATGGCAATGGTTGGCGCCAATCCTGGTCCCTCCACAACAGTGAGCCTTCTTCATAAGCCGAGGGGGGGAACCTGCGATCATCCTGCATGAAGCTGGCCACGGCTGCTGCTGAAGACCCTGACGTCCTGTCAGTGGGGTGGAAAAATTCCCGGGTAAAGGGATGCATGGCCCCTGACCCGCCAGCTCTAAGCACAGCCTTTGGATCCAAAAGCGGCTGGTAGCCCTGTTGGAAGAAGCACTTGTTTGGCAGAGGCTTCTCCCCAGCATAGGCCAATGTGGGTGTGCCGTCACAGTGTGGGACCCAGTCCCAACACTGTGGGGGCTGAAGGTGGGGCCCGATGAACGTCCGCCTGGAAGAAAGCCAATACAAGCGCCTCCGTTGCACCCACCCGCACGTGGAACTGTCAATGAGGATCGGCTCGCCCCCAAGCCAGCTGCTGTACGAGGACTGCACTGTCAACGGCATGCTGCCGACGTTCTCCAAAAACGTGACAAGCTCCTTGTCGGCCATCTCCGGCAGCGCCAAAAATTCATCCCGAAGGCGACAAAGCTCCAAGGGTTGGCAACTGCGGGGGTCATCTAGCCCGCGCCTGGCCAAGTTCAAAGAAGTGTTGCCCCGACAGGGACTGCCACCCCCCATCAAGACGCCCCGAACGTTGCGTCGTTGCAGAAAAGGGGCAAAGGCCTGGGCCGTCAGGAGCTCGACCTGGGTCACATGGACGATGTTGGGCATGTTATGGTGGGCCACCGTCCGAGCCACATCATCACACTCAGCTGCGACTGCATAGAAGTGCATGCCCAGTTGGAGCAACGCCACACAGAGGCCAGAGTACCCAGCCCACAAGTCCAAAACAAGCCAGGTACCTCGGGGAGGCGAAGTCCAGGGCACCTGACAAAGGTCGCCACGGCCCCTCCAAGAAACTGGCTTTGACGCTTGCAAGCGGTGAGGCAGCTCCATAGCACCGACTGAAGTCGAAGGGCTGGCATCATGCAACAAAACTGTGCGCGCGGGTACAATGCTTTCAGGTTGACTGGGTGTCTTGTAAGCCCGGCGCTCCAGGGGGGAGTTACGCTCCAAGGCAGGCACTGCTGATTCAGGCTGTCGGCCCTGCAAAGAAGTAGGCATAGAGCGGCCCCCCCGGGACCCAGTCCCCAGGGGGTGCTGTCCCTAAGAGGTGTGATGCTCAAGCCTCGTGTGCTTCTTGCTCAAGCACGGGCCCCCCTCATCCATGCGAACATCACAACAGTGCAAGGCTTGACAAGCTTTATCACTGCAGCCTCTGCCATCATTCCAGGGCTTGCAGATCTTCTGCCCTCCTTTTATTTGACTCACCGTTCGGAAGGAATCCCCCTTGACCTGTCTCTTGCGGTCATTGGGCCCGGGCTGGACATCCGCTGGCCGCTTTCCAGGTTTGGACTCCGGGAGCTCTGCAAGTGGTTGTATGGCCGGTGATCGCCACTCCAGGTGCGTCTCTCGCAAAGCGCTGTCAAGAGCCCATTGTCCTGGCTGTCCACGTCGGATGTATGTGGCCATCTTGCCACGCGTCAGGGCATCGTTTCTTTGCAACCAAGCGAGGCTGCCACCCCCGAATTCCATGGTGTCCTTGAGGGCTCTATCGCAGTAGTGCAATGCGCAGGACAGGTCCATGAAGAGCACGTTCTGCTTGTCGGCCTGCACCAAGTAGTTGCCAGCCCAGGCCCAAGCGTGTGCCAGGACTCTCATGGCAAAGTAGTAGTCCGTAACGGACCGGAGGCTCACAGAGACCTCCTTCTCCAGTTGCAACTGGAGGCCGCCAGGTAGAGCAATGGAGTCACTGGGCTTGGGCTGGGCCATGGTGAGCACAGATCGCACCTTCTTCATATCCACCACCGTCATGGTGCCCTTTTTGAACTCCCTGTAGATGCGCGCTCTCAGCTGCTCTGATGGTTCAAGGACCGAGTCAAAGGTCAGGTTGTAGCGGCGGGTCCAGTCTGAGTTCAATTGCTGGACGGTGCTATCAGGCAAGGCCTCGTCCAAGTCCTCCGTCTTGGGAGCGGTCTGAACGGCCTGTTTTAAGGCCTGTTGACCGGCTTCGAAAGCACTCTTGAAGCGCGCCTCTGCGATCCTGTTGTCCTTGAGCTCTGGAACTTGGGACAGCAAGTCACCCAGTGACTGCTCCCAGTCACTGGCTTTGACCATGTAGATGAAGCCGTCCAGGGTCGTGACATGATGAACGCGAAGATAGGCGTCAGTCCATTCCGTCTTCAAATTGGCCCCTAGGAAGCAGGCAGCGAGGCCCTTGTCATCTTGATGAACGTCGATGCGGGACATCGTGGGCACGGAGCTTGGGCCACAAAACCTATCAGGGTACACATGGCATGTTTCACAATGATCACGCCGACCCTAACAAGGCTTATGGCTCATGAAATCATGTCATGCCGGGTGATGCCAACACACTGCACACATCAAGGAGGTGGCAGGCGCTAAGCTTTTCAACCCGGTGATAGGTCAATGCAGCCACTGGCAATGTTCTGCCAAAGCGAGGTAAAGACCCCGTGGCACACGGCCTAAGCAGCGCTGACAAAAGTCTGTACGAGGCGTCAGGGTGAACCCGCGGCCGCGCTCAGCAGGGTCTTGTTGGTATGCGAAGTCTCTGCACCACGGTACGGCTCTTCACCTTCAACTTCCTCACGAATGATGTGCAGCTTCTTACCCTGGCGCAGCCATCCAAGCTCTTCAGGTGCTGAGTCATCAGCCACCACCCCACATAGGTCCTGGCCATCTGCGGATTCGTCCGATGCTGAACTGGAGTTGTCTGTCGACGTGTCCAGACTGGACGATGAATCGTCCTCCACTGGTAACTCCGCCGGCGGAGGGGGCGCCCGGGCCTCCACTCCATCCAAGGCTCCAGGAGCGACCTCAATGTCCCCGAGGGATTCCGTCTTTGCCAGGGGTGTCAGATCCTCTGGAAGGGCTTGATGCAAGGCTGCCACCTCAGCCCACTGCCAAGCGTCCCGGCAAAGGAACCCTTCGGCTGTCATAGCCAGCTCCTGCCTCTTCTTCTGGTATAGAGGGCAAACAGCCTGTCGACGCACCTCTGCTTGACCTGGAGGGATCTGAGGACGCGGGAACCTGCATAGTGGACCCCCATCAGCATAGAACCCTTGGGTTTCTTGGAGGAAGGGTCCCTGCCGCCCCCAGATGGTAGCTCTGTCCAGTTGCCTACCGACTGGAGGTCAAGGTCTGGGAGCTCCATGACGTTCGCCATCGTCGGGAGGAATCTCCTCAGCTTATTGTATGTCGCCGATTGGGCTTGGGTGAAATCGACGCCCACTTGAACCAAGGCGCCCCGCATCACCTCGAGGAAGCGTGCTCTTGACATGGCCTTGTTCGTGATGAAGGCTGTCGCCTCTGTGACCTCCCAGAGGTCCTCGGCATTGAGCTCCAGGGCCGGCATCAAAAACGTGTGGTCCTTGGGAAACTCATGGTTGAAGAACTCCTGGATGACCTTGGTCATATGGTGGCCGTTCATTGTCACTTGAGGGAGGCCCCATCGATAGCCAGGTCTAGCGCCCTGTTTCCTAGCTTTGCCCTGGGAGCATTCAAACTCCAGCCATGAACCATGGATGCTCACAAGCCGGGAGCGCTGCACGTGCTCGAAGCGAATGCAGCCGGTCGCAACCATGAGGAGGAAAGCCACGAGCAGCTTGTGGGAGCCCTGAACCTTGGCCATGAGGAGGGCCAAGTCGATGAATTCCCATGGCTCGAGCTCAGGTGCCTGCTTCCCAGTGTGGTGCACGGCATGGAAGCGAAAGTGCTTCACTGACCAGTGGTCCATGGCGAAGGCGGCTCCGAAGTTATCGGCAAACCATCGTAATGATGCGTGCATGCTGGAAGCAGCCGTGGGGCCACCAGCCGATACCTCCCTCAGGAACTCCGCCAAAGCCAGGGGGCTCGGCTTCTTGGCATCGATGTCTCTGGTGCTGCAAAACCGCAACCACCGCCTCAATGCTGCAGCTAGAGCGCCCAGCCTCTGCCCAGAGAGTCTGGACGCCCCGGTCATCAGCGCCTGTTTGAAGCGTTGCAACTCCATCGGATCGGCTAGCTTGGCTGGAGACATCTGCAACTCCTCCAGGTCGACCACATACTCCACGACCAGGGTGAACAGCTTGTCGAGCTTCGCCTGCTTCACAGCGTCCTCCTTGGCATGAGGGTCCTGTTGGGCGGCATAAGTCACCAGTGGTGCATGGAGTGGGGCTGCAAGACCAGTCGGCGTCAGCCGTCGCACCTTATTGGAGGGCGGTGCCACTGGAACGCTCTCAGGGGTGACAACTACTGACCGAGGTGGGCCACCCACGCTCGACAGCCGTTCACGGGCCACCTCGACGCTGAGGGCTACGGTGGCATTCTGGCTGGCCCTGCGGGCATTCGTCCATGCAACCGCAACCCGAATGGCCTCCTGAGCATCCAGCTTTTGGCCCAAGATGCTCTCAAGTTCCTCATAGCACTGCTGAGCCGATGGCCAGAAGTGGTGGAAGTCACCAGTGGTCTCAAGGCCCAGACTGGCGAGAGCTCCTTGAACCTCTGGTGCCAGATCTCTGACCACGTGCCGCAGTGCTGGCTCCATCTTGTTCTCCCGGGCGCTCACCACGCTCGACGAAGGCCATGAGTTCGTCGATGTTGAACGTCCCGTCGGCGTGCTTGGGCACAGCTGAGGTAGGGAATCGCAGGGGCTTTTCATACCTGACGAAGTTCCCATGTTCGTCGTTGTGCCCTGTGACTTCGAGGATCCCGGCATTGTCGGAGCGCTCGACATCCTTGAAGAGCAAGCCGCTGGCGATGCAGTCCGGGCACAGGAGCCGCTCTCTGTCGCACCGGGTGCAGACTGCGACCGGGATGTCGTCGCACCCTTCGCAGTAGCTCCCTGTCCAGGTACCGCAGTGAGCATAAGGTTGCCCACCCACGGCCCGGACAGAAGCCTGGGCGCCCCAGGTGGCCACGGCGTAGGCCTCCTTTGCGCCAGGGATCACCAAGCGCTCCCCCCTGGTGAGCTCAGCCACAGCTACACCAGGGTGGAGGCGCAGAAAGGCCTTGGCCTCGTCCTTCCAGCCACCCCAGTCGACCGCCGCCAGTGCCATGCAAAGAAAGACAAAGGTGGGGACGAGCTGGGTGGCTTGAGCCAAAATGGTTCAATGCCACCAGCTGTCCCCACAACCCTTTTCAAATCACATGAAGACCCTTCCCAACCAACCTACTCACATGTAAGATAATAGTAGTAGTAGTAGTAGTAGTAGTAGTAGTAGTAGTAGTAGTAGTATACTAGTAGTAGTCGTCGTCGTCGTCGTCGCCGTCGTCGTCGTCGTCGTAGTCGTAGTCGTAACCGCAGTCGTAGTAGTAGTAGTAGTAGTAGTAGTAGTAGTAGTAGTAGTAGTAGTAGTAGTAGTAGTAGTAGTAGTAGTAGTAGTAGTACTTAGACGCTCCCATGGTGTCCTTTGAGCAACGTTTTGGCTTTTAGCAACGTTACATGTCTCCTGTTGCCGAACGATGTTGTGAGGAACAACATGCTAGCAGCTACAGCAAGCACCAAGAAAACACTGACGTACTGAGTGCTATGCAGGTGAATGCTTCTTGCGGTACCCCAAAAAGCGATGTGCAGTGTTGACACCAGCACAAACTGACTATAGTAGTCAAGGCAGCTTCCGGCTGCCTTGATTCTTTAACGCTCCGGGTGAAAAAAAATAGAATATACATATATATATATATAAATAAAAATAAATATACACACACACACATATATATATATTTATTTATTTATATCAGTGCATGCAGGAACCACTTTTACCTTTGAAATTTGATGTCGGGGACTTTGTTTGGCGACCATCAGCCCACAAACCAGGGAACCCTTATCCACAAAGCATATGTGTATATATAAATATACTTATGGCATTGTATATGTATTTCCCATATTTATACACACATGCATGTTTAAATATGTATATATATATATACGTGTGTGTATATCCGTTCATCTTCACAAGGATAGAAAGAAATTTCACGCAGGCGTGTGTTCATACGTTTTTTCCTTACATGTAGGAGCAACCCTGGAAATGTTATTTGTTGTTGGGAAATGGTGGAAATGCCACCGAGGAGATGTATCCGAAACAAACCAAACAATTGGAGATGTATTATTTAAAAGGCTGCTGCATCTTGACAGACCGGTGGTGGGAAACTTGCTGCGCTTGGCAGCCATTATGGCTGTATCTCAGTATTTTTTTAGTGTTTCCCAGACTAGTCACCAGAAAACAATTTTTTCTCCGTTTGCAAATCAATACAAACCTAGCAAGGGGTTCCGACCGAAATTTGCTTGCAAATGAATCGCAATGTCAGTCGTAAAATATTTAGCACTGGTGGCATTAAGTTCCCATTTCAGAACACCTGTGTAATCCTGCCAACTCCAGCCAGCATTTTCTCGACGCTGGTCAATGATAGCTCTTTGGCGATTTGGCGAATGGCGCAGCTCCTGGCCAGGTGCATCACCCCCTTGCCAGCTGCATTGGGTGGGCTAGCTGACAGAGTACAGTTATACATATACATATATGTGTATATATATATATATATATGTATCTATATATATATATATATAAAAATAGATCACCAGGATATAGTTTCGATACCACTGGGGTGCTAAGCCATTTGATACGTTTGCATCAACGATTCTGCACATGATCCAAACAAACTGTTTTGTAGCCATTTGGGCAACCGGTTTCCAGCAAAGGTCAAGCTAGACCCGTTTTTTCTCATGAGCGGGCCCTTGCCTACTGCCATGGATTCATGGAAGAGTGTCAGTTTCTAGATCCAACTTCATTGTCGGAAGTATTTTTTTAAAGTTCGCAGTAGCCGCGGTTGAAAGTGTGACCCATGTTGTTGTGTGTGTTTTTTTGTTCTGACAATTTGAATTACCAGCACCTCTAAGGACCTGGGAAGATCCCATGGAACTTCGCTGATGTCCGGTCTATGTCTTCTAGCTTGAGAGCAAATCTACCACTCAGCGTTGTCCAAGTTGTGGATTCGTCTTCTTGGGTGGGAGGGGCCCTGGTACAGCTGGAGAACACTGTGTGCAAACCCAAAGCTGATGACCTTGTGCTCAACTACTGTTGGATCTGTCCTTTTGTCAGAAAGTTCCGGTCCCAGATCCCTTCCCAATCCTTTCTTACAGATGTTTTCCTCTACATGGACAAGACGTTCCAGGGTCGACTACTGATACCCCAAGATGCTGGTGAGAGTAAAGTAAGCCTAGCTACAGACGAGGCGAAGAAGGTGAAGTTGTGTATCGGAGCTTTGAGGGGGCTGTGGAGAAGCACATGCAAATTGTCGAAAATTAAGATATTTTTATCTATTGGCACTGTTTGCTATCTAGGTGATGACGTATCCATACCTTTTTGACGAATTTACCCCAATATATGGTTTGTGCAGCAGCGACATGAGGTACCAATGGTAGCCATCCTCGCATCACAGAGATGAAAGGTTACTTACTCCCTTCGCCTACACGCGGAAAGGCTTCGGGGGTTGGGACCATGATTCACAAAATCTGGTTGTGTTTTGGATTTGAAGGATCCCTTGCAAGTTTTTTGCTCTATGAATTTAATGTGGCCCAGTTCTAATATGATTTTAAGCCGACACAGTATTGTAAAACAATTTGGAAACCGTTTGTCATTCCTGTTCAGGCAGCCCAACCAGCGGACTCAGAACACGAAGAAGAAGAAGAAGAAGATGACCAATCCGATTCTCAAAGCCATGATGGTGACAGCCAGGGTGATGAGTCGGGAAGTGACAACCAGGGTGATGGGTTGGAGGGTGCCAAGGACGGTGAGTCATCGGACATGGAGTCGGCAGGTGATCAGGGTTCGGATGGATCAGGGTCAGGTGATGAAGGGGAGCCTGGACCTGGTTCACATGTTGATGATGTTGAGCCCCAATGCGATAGCCAAGAAACTTTGATTCTTCCTGGACGGGACCAGCATGAAATGGATGACCAAGACCCCATGGAGGTTGATGACAGCCAACCCAACCCAGCTCCTACCCAATCAGAGTCTTCTGATTCCGACGTTGAGAGCATCAACACCCCCGACCGCAAGATTTCATGGAATGAGGAGTTCTTTACAACACCTAGGTTTGGAAACTCAGGGCCACGTCGCGCTGAAATCGTTGAGATGTGCATGGCGTTGATGCAGTACTTTGGAGCCAACCATCCGGACATTGTGAAGTTCCTCATTTGATATTGGCCGTAAAAAACACGTTACATTATATATGTTGATTTTGTTTCCGGTTTAGTTGAATGGGCACTTGGGTTTGCATTACATGTTCCCCGGCCCTCTGCCAATCCAGGAGCCCCAATGTGGTCGACTACATGGACCATTGTGAGTGGGCGTACGCACGATTTGGGGTGAGGGCCACCAATTGGCTATCAACCAGGGACCATTGGGAAGCCTGGCTAGCTCGGTACGAAGCCCGAGGAAACAAGGTGGGTATAGCTCACACAAAAACCAATATTTGTTAATGGATTGGACTTTAATGTTTTGTTTGGGTTCATAGGTATTTTCTCTGCCCTTCCAAAATTGACCAGAGCCTGCAACTTGTTGCAGGTGTTGAGCCCAAAGGACACCAAGGAGTTGATTGAATCTTGCCCGGATGCCGTGATGGCAATGGAGGAGCACAAGAAGCCTGAGAAACCTGAGGCCTTTCAACTATCTGTCTTTCTGGTTTCAGTTTGAATCCTCCCTCCCAATTTTGACCTTCATTGTTGAGACCGTCAAGTTCAAGATTGCACATGTATGTCTGCTGCAGCTCCTGCAGAATTTATCGTGGTATTTTGTTTCCTGAGTTTCTTCCAGCCGTTGTGAAACCTTAGCTGTTTTTCTGTCAGGCCAAGAGCACTGACCACTTGCACCACCTCATGAGGAAGAATGCTTTCGACGAAGGGAGTGAACGGGATCGCTACACGGGGGAGCCCAGTGGGAAGACACCAGAACTTAAGACACCACCTGCTGCTTTGAAAACCTTGGAGAAGGCTTTGGAGTCAAATCTTACACCGCCTCCCATTGGTATGCAAACGGTTGTTTGTCTGTTTCAGAAAATGTTGTTTTTCTATGTTGCATGTCTAGCGATGGTAAATTTCCACTTAGGTTGGTTCCCCAAAAACAATGTTTTCCCTGCATTTTATGAAAGAGTTTGGGACTTGTGGGGGCCTTTTTTTGGGGATCAACCGAAGTGGAAAATTTGCAGCTAGCGAGCTAGATGCCCTTTCTTGATATGATTTCAAATCTATGAACAAACATCTACATTCAATTTGATATTGATATGATACATGTAAAATATGGATTTACCATTCAACCCTTTTGTGTGCTCTGAGGCTAATGGGATCAAGCGTGCTCGGCAACAAGAAGCAAATGGGGCCCCAGAAATCCCGGACACTGACAAACCGAAATCCAAGAAGCCGAAGTCAAAAGCTACACCCAGTGGAAGTAAGGATGGTGAGGCTTCTTTCAAAGGCTACAGTCTTTGTGATTTACCGCAGGAATCATGGCCACAGCCCAGAAAAAACAATGGACAGCATGGATACACACTCAGATCTTCCAATGGTGGTGTGACTCGCACTCTACCTGGTAAAGTGTTTCACAAAATTTATATACCCCAAACGATACATTACCTGGGTGGATTCACAACCCTGACTTGCTTGCCTCATCTGTGAGCTGAGGCAATCGAAGTTCTCCTGAAGTCCAAAGCTTTCGTGGTGAAGCGGGTTGGGGGAGGCAGCAAGGAGGAGGACCATGCTGGTGTGAAGGGCCAATACACATGGTCAAAGCATGGCGGGGTGAGCCAATGTTGGGATGTTGTTCGGAAAGCTGCTTGCTGGCCCAATGCGGCTACATAGCTCAATGGTTTGGTTTCGTGGAAGACTCTGTATATGATTCATATACCGGAGTGCAGGGGTTAAAACACTTCTTGAAATCAGAAGTGCATACGTGTCTCAATGGAAACCTCTCAGGATAGCGCAGTTGGAGCCAATTATTTCTGACTTGAAAATGATTTTAATTTTGTCGTTTGGAAATCCAAAGGTGTAGAGTCTAGACTTCAAGCATTTGCTTGGGAACCTTGACTGTGCTTCAGCTGGTTTCAGCTGCCACCTGGGCAGTTCCAAAGATCAATCCTTCAGCTTGTAGCCAGCCACCCCAATCGGACAACACCAAAAAGGCAGTCCTGCAGACGAAGTTGCCATCGCTATGCCAGAACCAGATTGTGTAGTATAGCCAATAGCCAGCGTCGCAATGTTCCATCTGCAGATTGCCAATCCTCAGATACTTCTCCCATTCCCCCTGCGCAGGTGATTCGACCTCAACATCTTCGGGGTATCCAAGTTGAAACCGCTCTGGAGGCCACAGGGTGTGTGAGTTTTGCAATTCCAAGAGATCTCAAAAAACATATTTCGTCATGTGTGTCTTTTTCGCTAATACATATCATCATAGGTGTGTCCCAGCATCCCACAATCTTAATTTTATTTCCAATCCTAATTCGCCACGAACTCAAAACCTTTCTACTGATGGCAGGTGGCATTCAGCTCCACGAAAGCCAGGAGGACACTGGGCATGTTCCACATGTTTACAGCATTCGTACAGGGAATTGTCAAGAATCACCAAAGTAAAAACAATATATATATATATTCATAAATAAATAAATAAATAAACATATATATATATGGATCTCGCTCAAGTATATAGGGATCTCGCTAATTGAAAATAGAGTTGATCTTCTCAATCTTTTCCACTGCAGGACAGTGGGGTGCCCGGATGCCCTTACGTTCAACTTGCTGGAGGCTTGTGGGCTATTGTTTATGGGATTGGTTGGTTCAGTGACATGCCTGTGTTTTGAGAACCTCTTACCCGAACAGTTTTCCCCTGCAAGTTGTTATTGGCAAACAGTTGCCCAAAAATCCCACACTGTTGAAATCAACATATTGAAATCCCAGACTGTTGAAGTTGAAATCAACATACTTAAATAAATATAGTTATATATATATATATGCGTAGATGTAGATTTACAGTTAAATACATAGACATAAATGCATACATGCATACATACACACATACATACATACATACATGCATGCATGCATACATACATATATATATATAATACTAAATAATATAATTGTACACATTTATAGATGGATAAATACATACGCTATATGCATACATAAAACGGATACCACACTCCACTGCTGAAATGCTGGGTGCAGTTGCAAACCATTGTCCACGGCAATCGAAGCGCCAGGAGAAAGCAAAGAAGTTGCAAAGCCATAGGTGCCAGCCAACCGCCTTGCGCGGTGTCGGATCAATGTTCTCATCTTGCCAAACCATAAACCACCAATTTGTGGGGTAGGAGGTAGGTTGTGTTTACAACTTGTCATGTAGAAAAACCAAAGGCCATTTGCACCAACTTTCACCCATCATGAAGGATTGGATCAAGAGATCGTTCTGGCCAACTCCGTGTGAGTGAGTCATGGGGAAAGGAATCCCTATTAGGGCCCGTGCAGCCAGCGCAAGCATGCCATATGGTGGGGCTGGCAAGCGCAAGCCTCCTACTACTTGGAGGGGCAAGCAAAGGGCTTTCACCGTGACCGGCCTTCGGGCTCTTCGTGCTCCATGGGCCCGGGTTTCCAAATCCTTAGATTCAAAAAGTTCCAAACTTGGGGAAATTTCATCCATGGAATTCTAAAGCTGCTTCATAGTAACAAATGGTTCTTGTACAAAAACGCAACATATATTTGGTGCTAGTTTCGCATGGCAATTTTCCTGTTTTAGCGGGCCCCCAAATGGACCCCACCAAGTCTCTTAAAAAGGTTCTAAAACCTGAGTTTTTGGGGAAATGAATGGGACTTGGTGGGGTTCATTTGGCGGACCGCTGAAACAGGAAAATTGCCAGTTTCGCAGCTGGCAGGTCCTAGTGATGCTGGTTTCAGCGATGTTTGCTTGCCCTGGGTTGGATTGGAACTCTCCTCAAGACTCCGTGGAATTGTTTGCTGGTGACTGCAGCATAACCCGTGGAGAGTGGAAGGACTACAAAGCCCAACATTTCGGACTAAAAACATTTAGTGGCCCATCCAACTAAATACCAACAGGGGTTTATAATCAGTAAGAAATGATGATTCATAAAATTTCAGAACAAACTTTAGGGTGTAGTTATATGTCTTTTTGGAATGAAGATTGGTCCCCAACATCAGAAATGATTTCATTCGACCAGCTTGTTTCCTGTGGGCCCCCAAGACCTTAAATTTCGCCCCAATTTTGGAGCCCTTTAGGGTTTCATCTTAAGGTTGGAATGTGTTTCACAGCTTCTACTGGATTGCCCCAATTTTGGAGCCACAATTTCAAACCCTTGAAAAAATTTCACAGGTTGAATGCCCCGGAAAACATCCATCTTCAGATTGATTCTGTTCTGGTACTATAAACCGATGTGAAATGTCAACCCCAGCCCAAATCCCAAACGATGGCCTGCCATGGTTTATGTGGATCGGGGATTACTTGTTGAGGCCAGCATTCCATTCTAAGCATGTGTCACATGTTTGAAAACCGTGAAAAAGAAACAGCAATTGGACTCCATGAGTCTTCAACAATCATATTTGTTCCATCTTCTCCTCAACAACGGGTCTTGGATTCCTCTTTACCTTGTAGCAGCCTGATTGTTGCACAGGAGAGCCGCCATTCTACTCCGATGGACATCCGCTTTGGAAAGCACCAGGACATCATGACCGATGCAGGGTTCAGCAACATGTTGTTTCACGTGCTTAATTTGCGGCCTGGTGCCGCATTATGGGCTGCACCAGTATGCAGTACGTGGGTGTACTTGATCCTTTGCATTACATTGGTCTATTTGTTGAGTTTGGGAAGGTTTGATAGGTTGATCTAGCAGTCCATTTGTAGTTTGCTGGGTTGATCTAGCAACCCAAGATTTTGTTGGACCTTAAGCGGCCATTAAGGTCTCGTGGCAGCACTGGCCGAACATCCAGCAATCCGATGGGGCATGGAGAAGGAGTGACAGGACTCCACAACATAATGGTGGGGCGCGTTGTTTGCTTGCTGGTCATAGCCATGGCCAAACAAATTTGGTGGTGCTTAGAGCAACCAAAGGGATCCCTCTTGGAAGGCCATGTCTTGTTTCAGCGTATGCTTGGTCTACTACATGTCTCGGTGTCACGAGTCTGCTGCAGTCTTGGCCATTTTGGCGCAGATTCAATAAAACCTGTTTGGGTTTACAGCAGTGCCTCAGCTTGTGAAAAGACATGACAAGACAACAGCTGATCCCATTTCGAGGAACTTGGTTTCTACATCAACCAGTCTTCAAGTTGAGGAAGTCCATTTGACATTCCAAATTCCACCCATGTTCCAGTGGTTGTTGGTGCTCCATGCGCTTGTTTGGAAAACACTGTCGTGAGGGGTTACCACAAACAAGATTGCTTCTTATCCATTCCCTCCTTGCCCAAGGTGAGCCAGAGGTAACTGAGTTCAACGATTTCGCTGACAGATCCCTTCGTCCTTCAAACCCACTGATGGTGCGGCACTACACCGACTCACAAGGCAAAGCTCGTATTCAAGGAGGCAAAGCTCTCAAAGCTTCACAGTCATACCCAATGAAGTGTTTTGGATCTATCAGGGTATGTTCTTCATTATTTTTGTATGCTGGCTTTAATATCCAAATAATCAAAACAATTGTAGCATACAGAGCCATAGCAGGCCATATCTCAACCATTCCTCAACCTGAGCCCCCAAAAATGGATTCCTTGTTGTTTTAACATGTTGTCACCTGCCCTTGCCAAGGTTTGGCCGTGCTGTTGCCAGGGTCCGGTCTCGCTACCTCAAGTCCAAGCGTCGGGCGGCACATCGTTTCCTGCGCAATGCGCTTGCTGCTGGCCAGGGTTTGGATATGGATGATAAAGTGAGTAGGTTCTGGATGGAACATGCCAACCTGCAACCTATTTTTGCCTATCTGGCCAACCAGTGATCCTTGTGTGAAAGCGCAAGAGGTCCCATTGCAATTTAGGTGATGTGGAATACCCACACGGAAAATTCAGTTCGTTCAGCCATAGGCTTACATTTAGGGGAAATGGAGAAAAAAATGTCAGGCTTTCCCATACCATCTTTACTTTCAAAGTTCCTTTTCAACATGTGCTGGATCCTTTTGCTAGGAATTTCTATGCGTCTAGCCTTCAACTGCCCACTGAATGATCTCAACATATCCCAGCCCATAACCATGCAAGCTGATAAAGACATTGTCAGTGCCCCAACGCACGCAGGTCAATAAAATGGGACGATTGGTTCTCAAAAGAAGCGGTAGCAACAGAGGCCAGGACTGGTAGGTGGGGTGGATCTTGACCCCTAAAACTTTCAGAGCTTGAAATTTACAAACAGTGTGCTAACCGTGTGAACATGTTACCTTTTATGCAGAAAATGATGCAAAACTGTAAAACTCACTAGTGCGATCTGGAGAGATTCTCGTGCGATTTGTTGCGACCTATTGCGATCTGGAGAATCATTCAAAAAACTACGTATGCTTTGCATTTTTTTGCTCAAAGGGTTTTGTACGGGGTGTTTCCAGCTGCTGTCCCAGTGTGGCTGGGATGGCAAAAACGAAGAAAAGTCAAAAGAAACCCGTGTCCCAAGTGCGCAAGTCAGCTTTACGGAAGCCTAGTAGCAAAGTGTCCAGCGACACCAAGCTGCTTGTCCCCAAGAGCAACTCGCAGAAGGTGGAAGATGCCAACTTGCTTCAGGCCGAGGTTTTTGAGCGAGCAAAGAGTGCCAATGCTTTGGCCACTTCCAGTGTGAAAGAGAAGAAAGATAAGAAAGGCAACAAAGAGAAAAGCAAGAAGGAGAAGAAAGATCACAAAGAGGTAGAGGCAACGGAGGAAAAGGACAAGAAGCAGCAGAAGAAGCTTAAGGACAAGAAGGATAAGGAGAAGAAGTCTAAGGACAAGACTACAGACCAGAAGCCTTTGGAGAAGAGAACAAAGGGCGAGAGTGCTACAGACCAGAGGTCTAAGGATGAAAAGTCTGCTGACAAGAAGAAAGGAGAGAAGAAGGAAGGAAAAGAGCGGAAGAAGCCAGGTGATAGCACCAAGGCCACAAAAGCAGGTAACAAGTCGAAGGAGAATGCTGAGGCATTGGAGGCTGCCGAAAAGACAAAAGAGAAGGAGGAAAAGGAAAGGGCTTTAGCACTCGAGTTAAAGAAGGCAAGTGTGCCAGGACCCGCACCCACAACGCCACCTGCAAAGAGGCTTCGCATGAAATCTCCCACTGAAAGCACTGCCAGTGGCTCTTCCAGTATCCATACTGATGCCACCTCCACTCGCTACCAGTCCACCAAGGATATGGCCGAGGCCCACTTCGCGAAGTTGAGGCTTGGCTTGAGTGCAGCAGTGAAAGAGGCTGAGGAAAATGCCCACTTGGACTGTGCTGGCATGAGCATGGAAGGTTTGCTTGAAGAACTACGTGCAGAAAAAAAGGAAACCAACGATGAGGGCAATGAAGCTGCAGAGGAAGGAGCAGATGAAGCACAGGAGGACGAGGAAGGCGAAGAAGAAGAAGCAGAGGTTGATGAGGAAGAAGAAGAAGAAGAAGAAGCAGAGGAGGGTGATGATAATGATGATGATGAGGCTCAGGAGGATGGAGACATGAGCGATGGTGGTGATTCGAATGATGACTCGGTTTTTGAGGGTACTGAAGATGAGGCGGCCTCTGATCCAAGCTCCAGTGAAGATGATGGAGAAGAAGAAGGCAGAAAGGCTGAGGAGAAGAGCAAAGAAAATGAAGACCAGAAAGCCAAAGATGAAGCCAAAGATGAAGCCTTGCAGATCGCAATTGCCAACACCACCAGAAACAGCAACTTGTACGAACGTCAAGGGGTGTGATCCTCCATTCCAGCACAAGATATAGCCCAGTATTATCATGATTTATCATGATCTGAAAGACACTTAGATAGACTTTATCCTGTCGGTCTTTGTTGCTGACCACTACAACTGCTTGATCAACCATTACCACTGGTTTGAGGCTCTTTGCATCTGTATTTTACTATTGTTCCTCAACATCATTTCCCAGCCGAGGCAAGACCAATAAACGCGAGTGGGACCGCTTCGACCGACAGACGAAGGGAGGCCAATTCCCGACAGGACTTCAACCTCTTCTTCGTAAAAAGAAGACGGACTTGTTTGGGCTATGGTTGGATTTCGGTGAGGATTGGGATCGGGTCCAATGTGAAGTAGAAAGGAGAGCTGAGAGCACAAACTTGGCTAGGTCCGAGTGGGTTGCCGTACAGGCCAAAACACTCAAAGCGGGGATGGAGCAGTCAAAGTTTGATGAACTTATCAAGAAGCGAATCGATGCAGGTCTCTACTACCAGGATTTGGACTTCCCGTCTGATCCCATGGACTGGGGTTCCCAAATGTTTATTTTCAATGGTTTTGTAAAACAGAGTTCAAAAGTTTATAACTATCTAATGAACTTCAGGGGCTCTTCCAACATTATTTGAACTGCCCTGCGGCGCAGGAGAACTGGATCTACATGCCCAAAGGTCGTCTCTTGAGGCAGGATGAGTTGGTATCCGAGAGTGTGTCAACAAAGGCTACAAAGAAACTTGATCAGGGGCTGTTCAATGCCCTGACAGCTGAAGAGGGAGGCATCCTCCCGGCTGGTGCCTTGCCTGCGGTGAAGGCTGCATCAGAGGCTGGCCAGCGTGCAGTCTTGAGTGCCTTGGATGATGATGGAAAGCAGGTGATGAAACCCAAGCGGCAGCAAAAGGCCAAGCCAGGTGAAGCTGAAAAGATTTCACCGAAGACTGTCCTAGAGTCGGGGTCTCAAATGATAGCCAACAGGTAATTCACTGAAATGTTTTGGTTGATCTTGAAATGGGTTTCCAAATCATCACCAATCAGATTCCCACCATGGTGTGTTCCACAAAGCCGGGTTGATTAAAACTTAGTGCTATCTTTAGTCATTGTCACTCAACCGTTCTGACACGTGAACATCTCAAAGCAGATCAAAGCACTGCTGTCATGGATCTCTAACCTAAACAGAAATGATATGAAACGACTCTGAAACGTGGACATGTCTCATGGCCCTGGTTGGCACTGCGTTTCGATGACTTCCCAAACTCGCTGATTTCATTTCTTGATTTGATTTTTCGCAAGAAACCCTTGTTACTGAGCCC